GATATGATTCAGCAGTCTTTATATGAGAGGAAATTTCCTTTCAGTAAAATCATCATCGTCCATTAGATTAACTAAATATAGTTGACAAGTTTTTTATTGGCTTTACAGTATTATTTGTATTTAATTCATAAATTGATTTGTTTTTAAGATTGTAGTTCATACTTATATAGATTTAACTACTACAATAAATAATTCAATCTATATTAGAGTCCACTTTTTTCCCCTCTAGAAGAAGCCTAGACATACAAGTTTGAGAAACATTATCCTAAATGCAAAGATAATGGGCCAATTCCACCTTAAGGCAATGAGAGAAAGCACTAGTAAGAAGTTTGTTTTGTTTCTTAAATTATTTGTTTTGTTTCTTAAATTCCACATAAGTGAAATTATATATTTGTCTTTTTCTGACTGATCTATTTCACTCAGCATAATATGCTGTAGCTCCATCCATGTTCTTGCAAATGGCAAGACTTCATTCTTTTTCTTTCTTTTTTATGGCTAAATAATATTCCATTGTGTATATACACCATATCCACACCTCCCTCCCACCCCGAGAAAAAGAGATAGAACAAGAGACAAACCAGGAAACAGACTCTGTAGAGAACAAAATGATGGTTACCAGGGGAAAGATGAGTGGGAAGAATGGGTGAAACGGTGATGAGGATTAATCACTGCACTTATCATGATGAGCACTGAGTCACGTACAGAATTACTGAATCGCTACATTGTACACCTGAAGCTAACACCGTATGTTAACTATACTTGAATCAAAATTAAAAACCAAAAGAAAGAAAGAAAGACCCCAAGATGCCACAGGCACGGTGGAAGAAAAAAATGTTGATATGCTCTCCCTACCTAATAATTAAATTAAATAATTGTAATTTATTTCTATTCCTTTTTTCTCTTTTCTGTTTCTTGGGAGGAGGGAAGTCTATTCCTTTTTTTTTTTTTTTTTAAGATTTTACTTATTTATTTGAGAAAGATAGCAGGCAGACAAGCGGAGGGAGAGGGAGAAGCATGAGCAGGGAGCCCCGAGCGGGGCTCTATCCCAGGACCCCAGCAAAGGCAGACAACAGATGCTTAATGGAATGAGCCACCCACGGAGCCACCCAGGGAAGTCTAATCCTTGGGAGAACAAAGCTTTATTTAAATATTCAAAATTATAAAGTAAAGGGAGAATTATATGAGAAAGCCATTTTGAGGTGTTTCTTTGAATATGATCTGTAAGAAAAGAAAATCAATAAGCAAAAACAGCATATGACTTCACAACTCAAATTTTAAGGGCACCCGCTAAAGTAATAAACTTCAAAGAATAACATTTGATGAAAAGGGGGGAAGATTTTGAGTCATAGCATGAACTAAAAACCCAATTCTCCAGTTATCAAATATTCTCCAATACCACTCACCAAATGTCTACACAGCACATAACAAGACGAAAAAATAATCCTCGTGGTAAGATTTTTATAGATCTTCTCTCATTTTAAAGAAAAGATAGGACCCAGAGAGATTAAGATATTTTCCAATTATCACACAGCATTTGACAGCACCAGAATTTAAATTCAGGTCTATGTCAATCCACTTAATGAACTGTCATCCGTTTTCTCAGACTGGATGTGCAATAATTCATTTAAAAAAAATGTTACGTATCTTATATATGTCATTTAAAATTGAAATCATCTAGTCAAGGCTTTCGTTTATAAGGACCCTTCCAAATACTCTACTAAGAAGAAACTATTAACTTTAAAAATAGAACTGCTGGTTATTTTACCAGCAAAAATGGGTTTATTCAGGAATAACAGGGAATTGCAAACCTGGACAAGCAAGCTACCACAAAACCATAGGTAAGTGCAAAAAATAAAGAGCAGTGTTATTTTATGGAGAAGGAAGAGGAAGTTGAGAGGGGTTGTTTTGAATAAGTCCACTAGAGAAAAGCAAGAGTTCAGAATGATGACGGTTTCTCCTTAGATGAGTTGCAGGGGTAACTGATTTCTCCTAGGAAATGCAATGCACGTCTTTCCCTTTGGGGTCTGTATTTGATGACTGTCTCCTGTTGAGATCCTTCTGAGAGGTCTCCGACCGACAATACTTCCTGTAATTGACATTGAGTGGTACCACCAGCCTCTCCTAAAATGCCTAGCCCTCCATCAGTGTGGTTTCCCTTTATTAATTCTCACAATACCTACATCCTGAAGCAAAAATCAAAGATTACATGTGACCCTATTGAAACAGTTACGCATGTATTAGCCAAGAATGCATGCCAAAATTCTCACCAGAAAAGCCATGAACTAGGATGGAAATAATACAAGATGCTTAGAAATGCATGATGACTGTCAGCTTAGGAAGGCTATATTAAGAAACCATTCATTATTAATGAAAATAACAGCAAAGTGCTAAAAATAAAACTAAACTGGATAATGAATACACTTACTGAAACAGTAAGTACAGAGAATGGAAAGGCATAGCTTAAAGTTAGGGAAGGTGAATGCTTCGTTAGGCAGAAAAGAGTAACAAGGGACAGGACTGGGGAAACAGAGGCTTCCTGGTGGATCTGGGATAGAACTCAGAGCAGGCTTCAGAGTCCTTTAGGCACACTCTTATCCTAGCTAAGCAACGTCAGAGAGCCGGCACTTAACCATTTGCAGCTTAGCCTCACTGCATCCTCCCCAAGGGAAAGAAGGTGGCTTGGGTGGGAAAACACCAGTGCCATCATGTGACTTCAAGAGTTCCTCTGCTCCAAATCTTTATTTGGCAGCTGATGCTGGAATTCTTTCAACAAAGAATAATACGTTTTCCTTCCATAATGAGGTAGATAATAATCAATCATCAGTTAAAATAATGCACTCTCATCACAAACGTAAGAATCCTAGCAAGACGTCAGGTTGTATATTTAAGAGCATAAGACTAAATTATTGAGACAAGCCCTGGATGTTCAAGGAACTTACACTCTCAAGATTTCTTCATTTTATATACAGGAAAACAAACTTATCAGGATGGGAATCACTTGATTTTTGCAAGGCTAGATTCAAAAATAATAATAAAGTACATCATCTCACTAGTTAAATCAGATGCATTTTAGAGATTTAACACAGCTTACGGAAGTGTTTTCAACTTCTGAAACAGTAAAATTGATCTCCCCAGCAGAGTGAGGAGAAAATGTCACTTGTAGACCACCTGGCAGCTCCACAAGACACAGCTTGGCATTTAGCCCTCAGAGATGGGGAAACGCTTTTGGAAGAGGCTAAGATCCAAAGAGCCCAGTCCTGAGACCTCAACCAGGATTTACAAACCGGAAAGAAGGAGAGTTCACATTTGTGTATGCACAGAATGGAAAGAACTATATATAAATCATTTTTTTCACAAGTCCGTAAAGTAGGGGCAGCCTGGGTGGTTCAGCGGTTTAGCGCCGCCTTCGGCCCAGGTCGTGGTCCTGAAGACCCGGGATCGAGTCCCACGTCAGGCTCCCCGCGTGGAGCCTGCTTCTCCCTCTGCCTGTGTCTCTGCCTCTCTCTCTCTCTCTCTCTCTCTCTCTCTCTCTCTCTGTGTGTGTGTGTTTCTCATGAATAAATAAATGAATTTTCAAAAAAAACAGTAAAGCGCTAACCTCAAATTCAGAAATTAAGTGAATGTAAAACATTTTCTTCATCCTGGTTAAGTAACAAAAGTAAGAATTAAATGTCTTAGCATTGGAGATGCTTAAAAAAGGATCTGGGAGCACAGCACACTTAATTTCAAGACATTTTGATAAGCTCCATCCTTACCATTAATACACACTTCAAAATACAGGTCAGATGATAATGTCTCGGTTTCCGGCACATACATCCCCAGCATGCTGTTACTGACCTTCCAACTGATGCACTCCATGTGGCCGTCCTACACTTGCCCTGGGGATTTCTAGATGCTCAAAGGCTCTCCAACTACTGAAAACGGCTGCATCACGCAGCCATCAGAGCCCAGAGTCCGGGGCTTCATTGCAGTAGCCGAAACCTGCAGAGGCCTCCGTTAGGTTGCAAACAGGTCATGGGAAAGGTAACAAGTTCAGCCTCATCAGTTCAGTCACTCCGTTTTTTTTTTTTTTTTTTTTTAAAGAGAAACTCGCGTTTCTTTTATCACTAAGCCTCTCTCCCTAGGTCTTAGTAATCGAGAGTGAGGATCCAGCAGATTCAGGGGGGAGTAAAGAAAATCGACTCCGGAAAGGAAGCGGGAAGCATCCCCAGGGCGGCCCTTCCTTAATGTGGGCCTTTAGCCCCTGAACCCTCGGACCCGGTGGCGGCCGACACCGCATTCACAGGGCGCACCGAAAGTGCAGGCGCACGAAAAGACTCGTGAAGGGGTCAAAGCCGCTGGTGCCGGGCTGGTGCCGGGCTGGTGCCGGGCTGGTGCCGGGCTGTCTCCGATCATCTCAGCCGACGGCAAAACCGCGAACCTGCGTTTCTGAAGCTCCGACGTGACGATCCGCCGAACACACGCGGTCTTGACCGTTTCCTCTGGGTGTCACTAAAGAAACCTGCTTTACTTTATCCTTAAGCCAAACTCCTGACTCCCCCCTCACGGACTTCTTTAAAAAAGTGTTGCAAGTGGGCACAATAAAGTCACACACAAACCAGCCAAAAAGGACCGACGGTCTCCCGCATTTTTCGGGAGCGCTAGGAGGAAAGACGGCGGAGCGCGAGGGTCGGGATGCTCCGCCGCGTCCGGCCGGGGCTTCCCCTCCTCGGCGGGCGCTGCCGCGGCGGGGGCGGGGGCGGGGGCCGGGGCGGGGGCCGGGGCCGGGGGCCGGGGCCGGGGCCGGGGCCGGGGCCGGGGCCGGGGCCGGGGCCCGCGCCGCGCCCGCCGCCAGCAGGGGAGCTCTTCCGCCGCCGTCCCCGAGCCGCTCAAACAAAAGAGGCCCGAGTCTTCCCCCGCACCCGCGCCCGCGCCCGCGCCCGCGCCCTCCCGCAGCGTCCCGGCCCCGCGCCCCCAGCCCTCCCCCCGGACGCCCCCCCGGACGCCCCCCCGGCACTCACTCCTCAGCGCCCCGATGAGCAGGGAGCCGTCCTTAATGAGCTCTTTGATGAACTTGTTGGTCCGCTCCAGCTCGATCTCGTGACACTGCAGGCGCTCCCTGAAGTCCGGGCTGTCCAGGTAGGAGTCGCTGAACTCCAGGGTCGGCAGCCCCATGGCCCCGGCGCGAGCGGCGGCCGGCGGGGCGCCGAGGGGCGGAGGGGCGGAGGGGCGGAGGGGCGGAGGGGCGGCGGGGCCCGGGGGCCGGGGGCGCGGGGGGGCGGCGGGGCCCGGGGGCCGGGGGCGCGGGGGGCCGGGCGCGGCGCTCAGTCCCGCGCTCCCGCGGCGGGGGGCCGGGGCGCGGGTCCGCTCGGGCCGCGGGCCGCAGGGCGCATGGTCGCCGCCCCCGAGGCGGCGGGGCTCCGGGTCCGGCTCGGCCGCAGCACAGCGCAGTCCCGCGCCGACGCTTCCGGCACCTCCACCTCCGCCCCGGGACGGTAGTCGGCGCGCCGAGCCGCTCGGCCGGGCCGGGCCGGGCCGGGGAAGCCCTCCCCCTGGGCGGGCCCTTCTCCGGGAGCTCGCGCGGCGGACCCGGCTGGCCCGGGGACCCTCCCCTGCGCCGCGCCGCGCGCCGCGCCCCGCCCCCCGGCCCAGGCGCCCTCCTCGCCCCGCGCCCCGCGCCCCCCGCCCCAGGCGCCCCCCGCCGCCTGCGCCTCGCCCTGTCCCGCAGACACCCTCCTCCCCGCCCGCACCCCGCGCAGCCTCCCGGGGACCCTCCTCCTGCAGGCACCGCCAGCTCCCGCCTGCGCCCCGCCCCTTGTCCCAGGGGCCCTCCCTCTGCCTGCACCCCGATCCCTTCCCCGAGGCACCCTCCCGCCTGCGCCGGGCTCCTGCTCCACCCGAGGCGGCAGCGCCGTCTGCCCCGCACACCCGGCCCCGACTAGCCCTCGGCCCCGCTTGGGGCCCTCCGAGCCCCACCGGGGTCTCCCGCTCCCCCCGCGCCTCCTGTGCCCGCCCGCGCCCCGCCCCGCCCGCGCCCCGCCCGCGCCCCGCGACCGTCCGGAGCGGAAACCTGCGTGAACTTCGCGCAAAGCTCCAGACGTATTTCAGAGCTACTTTCTAGCGTTAGTTTAGATTTTAGTTCACGTTTCCACTGAATGCATGTAAGTTCCAGATTGAAAAGTGTTGCTGCTTCGTTCCCACCGCTCACTTCCTTCATCCAACAAAGTCACACTTTCTCTACCGAAAAGGAAGAGCTTTGGGACTCCTGGGTGGCCCAGCGGTTAAGCGCCTGCCTTTGGCCCAGGGCGCGATCCTGGAGACCCGGGATTGAGCCCCACATCCCCGTGGGGAGCTTCTCCCTCTGCCTCTCTCTGCCTCTCTCTCTCTCTCTCTCTCTCTCTGTGTGTGTGTCTCTCATGAGTAAATAAAATCTTTTTAAAAAGAAAAGCTTTCACAGGCCTTGGGATGTTTGTTGTTTTTCCAAATTGCAGGGACAGTAGGAAAATTTCAAGTCATCCCCATCCCCCTAAATACACACCTGGGACTTGGGTGTTCCTACTCAGAAGAATACTTAGATCGCAAGACTGTACATTTGATTGGCACCTGGATAGAATTATCCAACAAGCATAAGGATTTCCAAACCGTTGAAGTTGGCTAGAGTTCCAGATGAATAGTTAACTCCTAGCGAGGGTCAGTTACCCCTCCTCTGATAGAGGGTCACCTAATAAATTTCTGTTCTTTCCAAGCCTTGACAGCAAAAGAAAGCGCTGCCCTACATCTATTCCTGCCACCATCTATAGTATTTCTGAGTGCTCACTTCAGCAGCACATATACTAAAATATAGTATTTCTGAGAACTCAGTTATTTTTCTTAAGGATCTGCTTTTAATTTCTGTGTTTTCATTACTTTGTCCATTTGAACCATCTGTTGAAAAAAAAAAGTCTTCTACAGATCATGGGAAAAAATTCCATTAATGTGCTGTACATTTTTCCCAATTAAGTTTCAGAGACTGTCAAGACTTTCAATTTCAAAAAGATTTTTTAAAGAACTACACATGAATATTAAAAATACAACATGAACCTTAAATTAAGATGATGTACACGGTATGTTTGATGGCTTTGATTTAAATTCTTCTGAGCCAAGGAAATTGGACTTAAAAACCTTCCATCCATATTTGTATCATTATACCTCTACAAATTGGCAGAATCTCCAATCATCATTAGAGTCATTTTTAACTCTGTGTTTAACCTGTCAGTGAAATACTCCTCATTTGGATAGGTGGGGTGAGATGGGGGGGGGGGGCAGTAACGCTGTTTGTCAGTCAAGGGAGTGACCCAAGTGGCAGTGGGGCTGTTTTTCACCTGAGGTGATTTCATATCTATTCATCACACAGACCGAAAGACAAAAAACAAGTCAGGCCAAACAGTTTCCTTTCAGCATTTGCCATATTGCTGTTCCAAGCAACTAAATCCAATGTGAACTGCTCAGATATGAAATAGGAGAAAGTAAAACAATCTTTTCCCGTTTTTCATTAAATGAAAATCCTGTGATTAATTCTTTAAAAATGTATCAGTCGTCTTTAATAAGTAGCATTTAATATGTTAGATGTCAATTTTCATTTAAAAAAAAATCCTTTATGTCGGGACAGATTTATTCTAGGCTCTAAAATATGGGTTATCATTTACCCATTCAAGTGTGTAATTGCATGTTTTATGCCTACTGTCTACATTATTAGCATCCGCATAGAAAAGTAATTTATATGGAAAGATAAACAAAGCAAAGCATAGTACGTGACCTCCAACAATTCTCAGAATAGAAAACATCAAGAATGAGCAGAATATGCTACGTTACAGAGCTTCATACAGATGCTGGACCAATAATGCACCAATGCCTTTATCAATGTTTCTAGTCAGGCCCATAATTGCATTTACATGGATTTAGGATTTTTCCTTTAGTCTCTGAAGTTTGTTATAATGGACTTTTTTTCCTTTCCTTTTCCTATAGGTGAGTAACCTCAGGGTTACTCATGACTTATCTCTGTGATTCATACTTTAATTATACCTGCCAGTCAGGCTTTCTCTTATGCCACATGAACCAAGCAAAGAAATGGTTTTGCTTTGAGGTGAATTTGCTGTCAGTTTTGAACTGTTGTTATTATGTATTATTTTCCCCACCATTATAATCAAACCAGAGTCTTTCTAAGAGAATAGGCTTTCTAAGTAAAAGAGCATCTAAACCTGCAAGCGTTTCTTCATAGAAAATTTTATAAGGTTGAAATGTACCCTCTCCAAACATTTCCACTTCATAATACGCAGGCCTGTCAGCGGCATGGTGAGTTTCATACGTGCCATTGGCTGACACACTCTTTGGCATGGTTACCGGCACAGAGGTGTGTCTCTGTTTGTCTTCTAATTCTGAAATAAATGGGATGTGTGGGGCTTTGTCTTAAAGAACAAAATAGTGAGATGGGGATAGTAAGCTAACATATTTGTAGATCTGCCTAAAACTTTTTTATTGACCTCAATCCTCTGTCTCTCACTCAAGCCCAGTGTTTAATATGTATTCAATAAGTGTTATTGTTGGGTAAGTATTACAGTAGTCCCCTCTTACTTGTACTTTAACTTTCCATGCTTTCAGTTACTCGTGGTCAACAGCAGTACAGAAGCAGATGATCCTTCTTCTGACATATCATAACCTAATGCTATGTCATGATGCCTGCGTCATTCACCTCCCCTCATTTCATCAGGTAGGCATTTTATCATTTCACATCATGACAAGAAGAAGAAGGGTGAATATAGCACAATATGAAATTGGGGGACAGGATGCCTGGGTGGCTTAGTCTGTTAAGTTTCTGCCTTTGGCTCAGTTCATGACCCCTGCGTTCTGGGATGGAGCCTCAAGTCAGGCTCCCTGCTCTGAGGAGTCTGCTTATCCCTCTGCCTGCCATTCCTCCTGCTTGTGCTCTCTTTCTCTCTCACTCTCTCAAATAAATAAATTTAAAAAAAAAATGGGAGAGAGACAGAGACCATGTTCACAGAACTTTTATTATAGTGTAACAGTTTTTCTGTGTTATCATTGTTTTTGTTAATCTCTTACTGTATTTAACTTATAAATTAACATTTATCATAGGTATGTAGGTATAGGAAAAAAACCGCGGTGTACTGTCACAGTTTTAGGAATTCACTGGGGGTCATAGAATGTATCCCCAGGGATAAGAGGGGAAATGCAATATTTTTTTATTTGTTTTATAGACATAGGCCTTTCTGAGACTCAGATATTTTGAAGCCAAATTCAGGCCTGGTAAAATGTTACTAAATTGAAGGTGAATGTACCTGAAAAGACTAACCTTCCTCTTTGGCCTTTCCTACAGTGAGAAGGTAGGGACACTGTCACTGCCTCCATTTCTACCTATGTGTTATCTTTTCCCAAAACATCTTCTATGAAATTGGGTTTAGTACAATTCTAGTTGAATTTCACACCATATCTAGAAAAATAATATTGAATCCAAATGAACAAAACACCTAGTTCAAATTTGTTTTAGGGTATATCTGTTGTGTAAAATATGTATATATATATATATATATATATATATATATATATATAAAATTTACCACTTTAACCACTTTTAAGCATACAATTCAATGGTATTTAAGTGCATTCACAATGTTGTGCTGTCATCACCACCACCACCATCCATCTCCAGAACTTTTTCATGTTCCCCCACTAAAGCTGTACACCTGTTAAAGAACAATTTACCACCACCACCACCCAAGCCTAGGTAGCCAGCATTCTACTTTCTGTCTCTACAAATTTGACTACTCCAGGTACCTCATGTAAGTGGAATCATGAAATATTTGTCTTTTGTGCCTGGAATATTTCATTTAGCTGTTCCAGTTGTTAATAAAAGAAACAAAGAAGACTGAAGAATCAGATTTGTTTTCAATACTATTTTACACTAGATAAATTTTTGAGTCAAGAGAGTTTCTTAGATAATCTGCTAGCAGAAGAAAGTTCAGATTGAGCCCATCCATAGCACCCTAGCAGATATTGTTTATTGTAATGATTAGAAGGGTTTTTTTTTTAAGATTTTATTTATTTATTTATTCATGAGAGACACATACAGAGAGAGAAGGCAGAGACACAGACAGAGGGAGAAGCAGGTTCCATGCAGGGAGCCCGATGTGGGACTCGATCCTGGGACTCCAGGATCACGTCTTGAGCCAAAGGCTGATGCT